CCCCCCCCCCCCCCCCCCCTTCCCAGCTCGGCGATGCGGCGGAGTCCTTCGGCGCCCGCGCCCTGCGCAACCGCAAGTCCGCCGAGGAGAGTAAGGTGGCCGCTCGTCGCGAGGCCGGGGCGATCGATGCCGCCGCCCGACAGGAGTCCCGCCTCGCCGCGGAAGCCGTTGCCGCAAAGGCGAAGCTTGAGGCCGCCGCCGCCGCAGCTCAGGAGGAGAAGGCTAAGCGCGACCGGGCGGAGGCGGCGAGGGCGGCGGCGGAAGCCGTGGAGCGGGCGCGGCTGGCGGAGCAGGCGGCGGGGGCGGCGGCGGAGGCGGCCATCAAGGCGGCGATGGCGGCGAGACGGGCGACCGCGGAGGCGGTGGCGGCGGCGGAGACGAGTGGGGATCCGGAGGCGATCGGTGAGATGGCACCCGACTACCAGGCCTTTGGATCCATATCTTCTTCGGCGGCGGATGCGGCGGGGGGCGCAGAGCACGCTCTGGAGGATCCTACGGCAGAAGAGCCCGGGGTGGAAACCTTGGCGTTGCCGGGGACAGCGGCGGTGCCTGAGCCGCGGTGACGCCGGAGTCCATGTAGGCGACAGTCGCAGGCTGCTAGCGCGCGTTGCTCGCGGTAGAAGGTCGCAGCAGGTCCGGCGGCAATCGAGGGAGCTTCCGAGCATTATGGGGAGAGGCAGCGGAGCAATCGGTGACCAAGGGGATGGCGGGCGACACGGCTTCGGTCGGTGGGGGATGGTTGAAAGTGGCACGAACGATGTTCGGAACAGCGTGGAAAGCAGTAAGGACACGTGCGACGGTTGAGGTGCGGGCATGAGGATAGACCCTTAGGGAGGGTGCGCTGCAGCCAGGCACGTCGGAAAATGACGCAAGTGAAATTGTCAGGACTAGAAAAATGTACGTGCGGCGCGGGCGCCGGGTGTGGTTCGTGGAGGTGGCCGCCACCTGTTCGGCCTATAGCTGCAAGAAGCCTACTGCGTGATGAATGGGGCATCGTCCCAGGAGGAGGATTTCCCACGAGATGCGGGGACCTTTTCTCATGGAGGAGTTTTCCCTGTAGATGAGGGTAGCAGCACGGAAGGGAGCGGCAAACCCAGAGAAACGCGACAAATCTGGTAGAGGGGCCAACCTCGAACCACCCGTCAAGCCAAGGACAGGTTGGGTTAGGTTGAATTAGTCAGCTGCCCCGTGGGTCGGACATCAGGAAGAAGATGGTGCTCCTTCTTCAGGATACGTGCGCCCTCCTCTCTCATGCACCCCCAATTTGCTTGCGTGCTCTGACGGCGGTGATTGTCCTGGGGGAGCGGGAAGAGCGCACGCCGGAGATGCTTGGTTGGATCGCGCCCGCCACTCGAAGGTGCCCCGATTCTGAGCCCAGCTCATGCGGGATAGATGTACCACTATGTCGACTATTTTTTGCGTATTCGTGCGTGTGGGATTTATGTGAGGGTCGTATTTACGGAAGCGTGTTTGTCACGAGCGCATATGTTCTTTTCTTCGACTCTTAAAGACGGTGAAGGTATCGACCAAAGAGTGGGAGGGGGTGCAGCTGGGGCGTTGTAGAGGAGGACCAGGGTGTACAGTTTGTGGATTTGTTATGCCAGGCGCGTGTTACGTTCGAGCGCAAAGTGGATTTGTTGTGTCAGGCGCGTGTTACGTTCGAGCGCAAGGCGGAGGCTCACGTTGTGTACTGTTGCGGCATGTAGTTTGGTTGGAATTGTTGAGCGGTAAAGGGTTGGTGGTAGATCCTCGTCACCGAACCCTGCACGTTCATTCATGTATTTTGCTGAAGGGTCGCGTTCAGCGTCCATTCCTTGTGCCGAATACTGTGCACGAGCAGTGGCAGAAAACATTGGTGTCAGCAGCACAACAGCAGAGAGGAAAGGGGCACGGTTGCGCCTGCGTTTGGGAACGAACCGAGGAGGCGGTCCCAACGCTCCTCGCTTGCCGTTCCTTGCTCTGGAAAACCGCTGAAACGGTGGGCATGTCGTTGGTAGTCGCGGCCGCCCAGCATCGTTTGTGCGCCGTTTGTGAATGAGGCTCGCATGCGTCTTTTGGCGGCATGAACACATTATTTGTACATAAGAGTATCATGTATTGGCGTGTATCGATCTAGGGACTGATCGGGGTGGCTGGACCATGGTAGCTGGGTTTGATTGACGTTTTTCTGCGCCGTATTGTTGTCATGAAGTGTAGACCATATGGTAATCTTTTTATGTTTTCCCCTCTTGGAGACTTTTCAGAGAGCTCGCAAAATTGGCCTCGTAGTGACTCTCTCGGGTGTTGTGTTGCCTATTCGGGGCTGAATGCCGCTCCTGGTGGCACGGTTCCGCGTTTGCGCTTGTACTTCGTGTTGACTGTTCGTGGCGGGGTGCGGTGACTCGAAGAGATAAGTTTTGGAGTTCTTTCTCTGTAGGGATCAAGGACACGGGGCTTGCTACTTCTCGGATACTTTTTGGATTTTCGGCTGTGAACATGACTCAGCCCCCAGCGTTTTGGAGGACTACTTGAAAACTTGTACCCTCTCGCCGGAATGTGTCCACGCTCTTGGATCTTACTGTCGCCTCGAAGGTTATTGTGGTGTTTGTTGGCAGCATCGTTTCTTCGCCTGGGGCACGGCAACAAGAAGGCCGACCCGGAAGAAATTCTGGTGAACGCTCCCGATTGTGTGCGTCGTGAGTTGATCACGCGTGGCAACAGAAATCGCAGGAGGTGCCAATGGTAACTCCCTCAGATTGGCTCCTGCACTGGGTAGACACATGCGGCAGCAACACTCCAAGCTATATTTTTCTGTCTGTACCAGCGGCATGGTTTTCGAACGCAACACGGGGTCGTGCAACATGATTACTGGCCGATCAAGCTCACTGGCCAAAACCGCGTTACCGAAGTACATGCACCCAACGGTGGCAGCGCTTTGAAACTACGACCCGGTTCCGCATTCCCTAGCCTGCTCGTCAATCACATGAGTTATCTGCCGATGGCACCAAAGTCGACGCCCAGATAGATTACAACGCGGCCCACGACCGGTTGCAATCCGGGCGCTCGTGGTGTCAATTCCATTACGTTCCGCCGTTTCTCTCGCACGAGCGGATTGTCAACACACGCAAACCATGTTGGAAGCGAAGAATCAGCTTGAAACCCTCTTCGTTCACGAGGACAGCAATGAGTGGCGATCAACAATACGAGCGAGTCTTCCTCTTATTTTTCCTGCACGTGCAACGAACAGGATTTCCGAGGGAGAGGCCTGAGTCAGAGGAACTACCCACACAGCTCTGGCTATGCTATTGCCGCTGCCGGTGGCGACTAGTACAACGTGATCCCGAATCTCTTCCAACGCCAGTGGTAGCCACGGAGGACGAGTCCTCCCTCATGACAGATATCAACCGCACCAAGCCCGCCGACTTGTGAGTTCTCCGGTATGCCCGATGTCGAAACTGCAGCTGCTTCTGCCTCAAGGCCGCGGCTTGGCTGAGAGATGTTCCGTACAGAAGGAGCAGTAGGACAACATGACCGTCTTCGGTTGTGTAAAGTGAGTGAGGAAGCGCTCTCTTTTTGTGTGCGTGCCCGCAACACGCGTCCGGCGCAATGGCACGTGCGCGGCGAGACCGGAACCTGATCACAGCAAGCACCAATAGCTGCTTGGGTAGATTATGGCGCTGGTCGTCTGGAAGCAGAACTAGAGCCTCTAACTCGTAACTTGGGAAACGCTATTGCATGTTTCGATCGATTCTGCCACACCCATTTCCATTCTCACGACCTTCAGTGTCCGGAATTGCCAATTCAAGTGTAGGTCAACAAGTATGAGATCGACGACAGTACAACAAACGTTGATAAACTCTGAAAGAACGGAGAGCTAAACAACGCTTCGTGCTCGCTTTCCTGCCCATACCTAGTAAGTGAAGCTCCCCGAGATATCCCGCTACCTATACAAAGAGCCTCTTTGTCGAGGAGTCGGGGGTCGAAGCCATGTGGTTCGATCGGAGCCAGTGAGGAAGAAAGCGCGACTCCCGGGGCCATCAATGGCTTCCGGCCGGCTAATCCTTGGGGTGGCCTGTTTATCACCAACCCACCACAGTAGGGCGAACACACTGTGAGGGCGGGGGGTGACTAGATTGTTTTGCAGGGTTTCGCACGCTTTTGCTAGGATCATGCACGCATCAGTCCCGCCTGATGCGTAGATTCGTTCAAAAGTCCATATTGTGCGTACAGCAGTAGCATTATATCAACATTTAGACTATGTATTGTGGTTTGCTTGGAGTACAGGGTGGAGGCACAAAGGGCTGCCCACCTCCTATATAGCTCTCCGTGAGCGAATGGCCGCAAGGCCACACATGATACTTGCAGAGGCCCGATCGCAAGGCCTGGGTGGGACGATTGTTTACCCTGCTGATTATTTGCCCGTGGTTCGATTCTGTTGCGGTGGATATTTTCCTTGCCTCTCCAGCGCCCGTCCGTCCTTCTCCGTTCTGCCGTAGTTCCTCGCGAAGCTGCAGCAAGTGTTGGAATATCACGATACGGTACAATTAGATGGTATGCTGCAGGTACTCTGCGTTGCTGTTGTTGTTGTTGTTGTTGTTGTTGTTGTTGTTGTTGTTGTTGTTGTTGTTGTTGTTGTTGTTGTTGTTGTTGTTGTTGTTGTTGTATTCTTCCGTTCCGGTCTCCGCTCAGTACCTTCGAATGTCCGTACTGGTCCAACTGGCGCAAGGACAGAGAGTATCCCCTTCCCACAGCACAGTTCTGCAAGAACAGTACCTGAGGAGAAATGACCACTATCCCAACCATCGCAGGTACGAGGTAAGCTGCTGTCGCCATGTACCTCATCCCAGCCTTCGCTAGGGGGAGGTCCGGTACCCGTACGCCATCGAGCCTTCAGCAACACCGATTTATTCTTGGCGCACGAGGAACGGGGTGGGGAGTCTGACCATGGCTCAACGCCAGTGTTCAGGCTCATTGGTAGGGGCTCGAGGGACAGGCCTTGAATGTTGTATGGGCGACTGGGCGATGTTGCAAGTGAAAGGGAGCAGAGAAGAACCCGAACCCGAGACGGAGGCGGAGACAATCGGGCCGACGATGTACTCCATGTAATCCCGCCGCGTTTTTGAAACGCTCATTGTTGCTGGCGGCTCTCTATAACTCCTGCAACTATTAGCACGAGTAATAGTTGGCGCTGCATTGCGCCTTTGCTGGGCAGCAAAGTACACTGGTCCTGGCCATCAATGACGAATTTCGAAAAATGGGACAGGTTCGACGTGGACGCCGCTGAAATGGAGATAGAACGAAAGGTGAGGGTAGACGCGAGTCGGAACATCAGGTTGCGCCGCATGTTCCACCATCAGCTACATCATATAGCAGGCGTCAGTGCACTTGTCGGCACCGACGGAGATATCACTACATCGGCGACATGTGGTAGATAATGGGGTAGCGAAGGGTATATCATGTGTCCTTTGTCTGAAGTGCAAGCCTTTTTAAGACGTAGGTCAAGGGCTATACAGGCAGTGCCGCAGCCATGCCGTGTAGTCTGTCTCCTGAAGGAGAACCGTTGCCCCTGCGACAAGATACCGCTGCTGCTCTGACTCCAATGCTACTGCCGTGTCACATTCCAACTGCGCAGGCGGTCGTTGAGGAGGCGAAGCGTGTAATCATCGCGGAAGAGCGATTGGTTCTCAAGTACTGCCAAGATCGTGCCGCTAGGCTCAAGTCGGAGGTGAAACCTCTTGCTACAAACAAGAGTGCGAAGTACAAGACGGCGAGGTGCCGTGTTGTTCAAGCGTACAGTACTTGAATGCCCAGAAAGATCTTCCGATGCATCGCCCCTGTGCTCTTGGACGTGTTGTGTCCGCATGCACCTCTCACGCTTGGTTTGGGTGATCTCCTTGTTACAACGATTACCTCCGCCGCTGCTGTTACCCCCTGCAGTTGCTCTCGCGAAACTTGATACCGAGACACGGCCTACTTCGTGTTCTCGCCCCCCTTGGCGGTAATGTTGAGACTTCGCATCTCGGCAATGCGGCTTACCGCATGTTGTACACAGTAACGCTTGCTCGTGAGATCATGTGATGCAAGGACCTGACGCGGTTATGTTGAGACTTCAATTGCGGCTACGGTTTGTGAGCGGGGCGTGACAAACCCGTGTTTTTCTCTTACATCGGGCTTTTTAATACTGTACCGTGTTACCTTTCACGATAATATTCTCTTGTTCCGCATGTGAAGACGATTTCTTTTCAACCGTAGCGTTGTGAAGGCCATGGAAGATGTACGCTCTCCTTTCATCCAGCTATTGGAGTTTGTGGAGGGCATATCACTCATTACATCACGTCGTCGAAAGCGTTAGCACCTTGTGCTACTTAGCTCCACACGTGCTCCATGTTTGTTGGCAGCCATATACTCACCACAAGTACCGGGTACACTCCTGATACCTGTGTGTTGGGAATAAATCATAGTGTTGTATAATTGGAGTCTATTTTTTGGCACGTGAAAAAACGCGTCCGTTCGCTGCACTTAATTCATGGGTGATTTGTGAAGTTTGGTGGGCCTGGCGTTTGATCGGGACCGCTGTGCAGCGGCTTCCTGCTGCGCAGGGCATGGTGTTTGCAAGCTGTTTAAGACGGCTACATGGCTCTTTTTCATGGGGTTCGATTTGACAGAAAATCTCATATACATTAAAA